GTTCCCTCAGACAGGAAATGTCCTGATTTACTGATGGGAACAGAAAAGGCTCCATGTTTATTTCCATCAGAGATGTTTTTTCTGTCTCATCAAATCCATTAAATGTAAGTTTTCTTTTCGGTTAAAATAAGAAATTATTTCCAAACAAAATTAGAAAAAATAAGTCGGCGTTTAGGGATTTGGTGAAAATACGCCAAATGATTTTCTATGATGAGACAAAAAGAAAAACTCGTCTAGTTTTATACAGAAAAAGTAGCTCATGTTTAATCTGTGGTTTCAGATGATTAGTTGGGATTCAGCTGAGTTAAAAAAATCTAATTAGTAAAGTGAAAAACTCATTTTTTCTCATGTTTTTTGTTTTTATTTAGATTAGAGAAGGGAGCTCCCATTTTCCTGCGCGGATACATTTAGGATTGCTGGAAGTGGATCATCATGTGTCTTTCCCTCCTTTTCGCCGAGGACCCGGAAGACGTACGGTTTGGATTTCTGATTTTCGGGTACCTGCTGATTGCAGTGAATGTAAGGCGCTGTCGGGGGCTGGTGGGAAACCCCCTGAGCTCTGGGAAGGTTACTGCCGAGCACCGAGCGCTCCGACTGAGACGTTGCTGCAGGTGAATCACGAGCTGGATGCTCTGTGTGGCAACCTGGGGACGATTCTTCGATTCGCATGCAGGACGGATCCCATGATGGAAAATGCCACCGCGTGACACGGATGGACGTAACCCCCCCCCCCCCCCCCCCCCCCCCCCCCCCATTAGGCTGACTGGATGCTCCTGAGACCAGTAAAACTGTAAGGCAGAGAGGAAAACCTCGTCTCTGGCCTGGATCTGGCTCCCTGCTCGGCCTGGGCCTTGCCTGAGAAAACAAAACTCCCCATGGAATGATTACAAACACTCGCTCTCACTCCCATCCTAACCTTCTCCTGACACGGATCTGGGAATCTGAGGTCACACACACAGTGGCTTTTCAAAATAAAGTAAAATGTAAACGTTTCATGATATTTAAATTAATTTCAAACTACGATTATGGTAGGTCTTCCTGTTAAAAGGGAGTTTTCCTATCCACTGTCGCTGCATGCTTGCTTAGTATGAGGATTGCTGTAAAGACTCTGACTCTAGTCAGTGACTCGATGCAACCTGCTGGGTTCCTTATATAGGAAACTTGTTACTGATTGAACTGTGAAGGTCCTTGAGACGACTCTTGTCGTGATTTGGCGCTTTATAAATAAAATTGAACTGAATTGAATAGAATTAGCATAAGTTCGCAAATATAGGTTGTATATTTCATGCTTTGCATTGTTTAAAAATAGTGTGAAGGGTTGCGATTTGTAATGGTGGAAGTTTTACGTTGAAGGGGATGTTCTTGGCCGGTTGTGTGGCGTGTGCCGGTTCGATGTTTAGGAAGAGAAAGCGAGCTGGTTTCAACGGAGATCGTTGACGTGGATTTTCCCGGAGTGAAGGCGTGGGTGGCGGCCAGCAGTAACCCGGAATAATTATCCCAACCAGAAAGATCAAGTTGGAGTCGTTACAATATCTGTTAAAAAGTCAACAAAACGTATAGCTGTGGCGGCTTTTATGTTACCGTGACGGTGCAGCATGATCGATTAGTGTAGACTTTTATTTTGACAAAAGTAGCAGGAAAAAAATGATGCCCCTTCTGATTGGTTCGCGAAAAGCTACAGTAACGCCCATGAAGGTGTTTCTACAGCCCAAAGGCCCGGCGGCTGGCTGGACCCTGCTCACCTTTGTTCCCCCCCCCCCCCCCCCCCCCGCCTCCTCCCCTCACCCCACCCCCCCGTAGGGGGCAGAGAAGGGACACGTGTTTTCATCCTCACCCCTCCTACCTTTGTGTAGTTCTGTTGCTAAATGTTTTCTCACCCTGTTCCTGTTGGCCGACCACTTTCCTGTTAGTTTTCTTGTTTTGTCACCTCACCGTACACCTGTACAACAATAATAATAATAATAATAATAATAATAATAATAATAATAATGAGGATAATAATAATAAATAATAATAATAATAATAATAATGAAGATAACAATAATATCAATAATAATAACAATAATAATAATGAGGATAATAATAATAATAATAATAACAATAACAATAATAATAATGAGGATAATAATAATAAATAACAATAATAATAATAATAACAATAATAATAATAATAATAATGAGGATAATAATAATAACAATAACAATAATAATTATGAGGATAATAATAATAAATAATAACAATAATAATAATAATAAAAACAATAACAATAACAATAATAATAATAACAATAATAATAATAATAATAATAATAATAATAATGAGGATAATAATAACAAATAATAATAATAAAATAGTTTGTCACCTTACAACTTTAGCTTAATAACATTTTTCACCTACTTCGTCATTCCTGGCTGGCTAGGTCACTACTCAGAGCTTAGCTGATGTTCGGTTGGTCTTCCAGTTTTAGTCTCATTTTGGTTTATTTTGGTTGCTTTAGTTTTGGTCTGCCTCAGTACTCCACGTTTTAGCAATACTAACTCTAACTGGTAACTCAATTTTTTTAAGTTGATTGTAAATTCTAGGTTAGTCCTCTTACCCGTTCAAAGCAATGATGTTCTGTTAGTTTAAACTGTGTTTTCTGTGGTTCGTTGTACCAGATTTTGGTGTCTTGGTTTTATTCGTTGTACCAGATTTTGGTGTCTTGGTTTTAGTCTTCAGCTTAATCTTCATGTTCTCTTGGTTCCCTACCCTGGCTGAGCACATTTAGTTCCCTTCTCCGTGTTTTATTAACATTATGTTATAGTTTTAACAGGCCGTGTGTAATTCCGTTGTTCGTGTTTGTCTGTTCTTATTGCTGTAAATCAGCTGTTTAGTCAGACGGCAACAGAAAAGGATGGATGGATGTTTTCATGCTTGAGCTGTTTGTAGAGACCACACGGCAGCACTAAAGGATGCAAATATAAACGTTAAAGCTCCTCGTCTTCATAGCTAAACTCATATTAGGATTGTCCGGCACTTCACCGAGTTAACCAACCGTAACGTAGACGACACGTCAGACGTTTATCTTTAATGATGATAGACGTGATGTAAGGGTGAGGTTTGGTTTTTGGGACATCAAAGACAATAAAAATGTCGGAATGCAGTCCAGAAAATGTGCATTAACCTGGGATTCTCAAGGTCACCGTGACAGGCTGAAGGTCACAGATGGGCCGAGGGTCACCTTTGGGTCGGCTCTAACAAAACCACATATTACAACCAGCTAACATCAGTTTGGGTTCTGTCTGACGAGAACGTTCCATCAAAAGGATTCAAGTCCCGTTAAACATGGAGAACATCGTCCATGTTGGTTAAAAACAGCACAAACTCAGAGTCAGGTGGGTAACTGAGGAAGTCCATCCATGTACACGGACCAAAAACACGGAGAGAAGAAGAAGAAGAGATACATTCCACTTTCAGAAGTCTACCTTCGTCTTCTGTTCAGCTGGCTCCTCCCACTTTAGTCCTTGTTCATTGTCCAACCCAAAGACCTCCTCAAGAGTCTCCAGTCCCCGTCCCTCATAGCTGCTGAGGACTGTGTGTTTACGTGGCTTCAGGTGAAGTGCTGAGAGCTCATTGGCCGGTTTCTGTGGAGAGGCGGGTCTCATACATGCTCAGAGCGTGGTGGACAAACTCGTACTGCTCACCTGTCTGGATCATACCCCCTCTGGAGGAGAAAGGTCAGAGAAGGTTGTGTTACCGTGGCGATGAAGGATCTCGGTCAGATTCATCAACAAAGAAGACTAAAAAAAACTTCAAACGTGAGCGAGGCTCGTCTCAAAAAACGATACTTCCTGGTTTTACCCACGATTCTCTCTGGTCTGGAGTTTTTAGTAATAATTAGGTCATGTCCTCTCTGGCAGCGAGGTCATCTGGTGGAGCTCATGACATCATTAGAGAGACACACACACACACACACACACACACACACACACACACAGATGGTGGAAACATAAGAATATGTGTGTGTGGATAATTTAAGTTATGTAGTTAAAATGTGTAAATAAAAGCGATGAAGTGTAAATAATGATGTGCTGAACTGGGAGTAGAAAACGGTAGTACTACTACCGTAGTAGTAATAAAAGTAGTACTATAATTATTTCACAAATAATAAAATGGAAAAAATTACAAAATTCTCAAATTTTATAAGAAACATAATCAACGGGGAAGTTTGCAGCCGCAAACGAAACGTAGCGAGAAAACAGGTAAACAGAACTGCTCTGTGTTTTAAAAAAGAACTACAGCATGGAATAATCAATGTTAGCAGTGAGTTACTGAGGATGTGTGTCTGTTTACCAGAGCAAACATTTAAAAAGTGTAAAACGAAGTTTTAACAGCCCTCTGCTGTAATAAAACCTGCAGCCGCCTCCGACTTCCACAGAGTGACATCATTAAAGCAAACAAAGTCTGTCTGTCGCCATAACCGTTAGCCTAGTACGTAACTACATTCACACACAGAACGTGAAAAGCTTGGGTCAGAAAACAGAGAATGAGGGAGAACCCGAGTTCTGCACTCAAGGTGGAGTCGGAGGCAGCGAGTGGGCCCTGGGCACCAGAGCGTTGTCCAGTCGGCTCCCCTAACTATGGAGGGAGGTCTCCATGGGCAGCAACCTTTCGGAGAGGTGACAGAAGAGTGCGCATGCCAATCCGAGCAACAGACAGCAATTGAAAAATATAGTTAGGAAAACAGCACAGAGTCAGAAGAGGTCCAGGAGTAAGACACAGGCTGAAAGCTGAGTCCAGAATCAGAAGATGCTCTCGCAGCCCCGTCCACCACAGCAACCCGCCTGCAGTCGGTCAGCAGCGGTGCCTGGGCGTAACTGACCGAGACCAACGAACAGAGTTTGTTCACCGGGGCAGTGGTCTCATGCACAGGGGCGGAGCCAGAGTTTTTGTTGGAGGGGGCACAAGGGGTGCAAATAGTGACCCTGGGGGGGGGGGGGGGGGGGGGGGGCACCCACCT